ACATCCGGGTTGAATTACTAATTGTTTACATTTAGAGGCAGGGGCATAACTCGCATAGGATGCGTTTGTTCAAAAAGGGACTTTGCACACAATTACCTCATCCTTGTGTTAACAGCTCAGTTGTTTCAGCTTTATAGTTTCAAAAAAGGAACGGGTTTTAACATTTGGATTTTTTCATTTTTCGATTTTGAACTTTGTTGACGTTTGTTGACCTATATCTTTTGACCTTTATTATGTAGGAGCTTTACATTTCGAACATAACGTAACATTCTGAATATTAATTAACCTATGCAAAAAAAATTGAAGTGGGCGTGGCACATCCGGGTTAAATTACTCATTATTGACATTTTTGGCCAGGGGCATAACTTGCAAAGTATACATTTGTTCAAAATGGATCTTTGCATACAATTACCTCATATATTGAGCCACTTTGTCTTAAAAATTCGGTTGGTTCCGCTTCGAAGTTCAAAAAAAGGAACAGGTTTTGGAAATTCAAAATTTTTAATTTTTGACCTTGACCTTTGTTGACCTTGACCTTTCTAACATCAAACGTCATTGGCATTGGCTATCTATTTATACTTTTATATTTGCTATCTTATGTCAACTTCCGGTTTTATAGTCGTGTGCAATTAGAAATTTTGATGACGGATATATTTTGATTTTGACCTTTTTAGACCTTCTCCTTTACAAGATCAAAGGTCATTGACCTTGGCTATCTGCTGATACTTTCATTTGTGAGGTCTGACGTCTACTTCCGGTATTAGAATCTTCTGAAAAATAAAAATTTCTCAACTTTAGACTTGTTCTTGCGCTTGACCCAATTATCGTCGATGGTTGATTCTTTCAGGGTCTTTAGCAAATTGCTACATTTGCAAAGTCCCACTCTGTGCCACGAGTGGCTCTAGTTTATATATTTGAATTCATTTATGAACCTTCTTTGATAAAGTAACAGAACATATCTTGCAGTTACACATTACTTATGGTCAACGTTATCTGACATTGAGATACTATAATAACCTAACTACATTTGTTAGAAATATAAGAGCAATTGTATGATTAAAATGCATATGCATATTTCTAAAGACATTTCATTGGTTACTTACCATGACAAGACCAGCCAATGCTCTCATGAATATTAATAAGGCATCATTAGCACGTGCTGCCACTGGAGTTAAAATGGTTGTTAATGAACCAATAAGTAATGATAATGCTATTACACGTTTCCCTCCGAAATGTCCAGCTATGTAGCCACCAAGTATTGGTGATGCTATGAAACCAAAATTATACGCGGCTAAAATTGTTCCTTCTAGTTCTGACGACCACTTGAAATCTTCTTCCTGAAATATGGTGACTCTATGAGAATTTTCATTCAGTCATTTTACAACTCAAAATCTAAATTGAGGGTTTTATAATTACAAACACGCTATACCTCGTTTTATGAAATTCGTTTGGTTTTAACATTCAATAAATGTTTCAAAACTATTTATCTCACTGGGGCGCGGTAATTAGGTCACAGGAAATTCGGTCACCGGAACTTTGGTCACAGTAAAAAGGTCACACGGTAATTTGGTCACAGTAATAAGGTCACATGGTAATTTGGTCACAGTAATAAGGTCACACGGTAATTTGGTCACAGTAAAAGGGTCACACGGTAATTTGGTCACAGTAAAAAGGTCACATGGTAATTTGGTCACAGTAATACGGTCACACGGTAATTTGGTCACAGTAAAAATGTCACACGGTCAAGGCAAAACTAGTAAAATGAAATTACTGGTAACTGGTGTAGTGATATTTATTTCATAATACATAATATAGTGTTCAGCTTGATCTCTGCCAGAGATGGATGGACCTTGTGGGGCCCTGAACGGTCGAACAGTATTTGGTATACCTGTCAATCTGCAGCTATATAGGTATTGCTGATACAA